TTCACATGAGTGTAGTTAAGGATTTCATGCAAAGACATCACACCGTCCATGATGTTCCTTTTTTTCACAAAAGCGTTTTGGGCCCTATTTATGAGCTTATCAGCATATTTTTCAACTCGCCTATCTAGGACCTTAGTGATAAGTTTGTATGGACATCTCAGGAGGCAAATCGGCCGGAACTGTTGAATCTTGTCTGCGCCCGCAGATTTCGGGAGAAGAGTAATCACTCCATAATTGAGGCGCTGTACGTCCAGTCCCCCTTTATGAAAGTGTTCAAACAGGAGCATAATATCATCCTTCACGATATCCCAACACACCTGATAGAACTCCACAGGAATGTTGTCCGGCCCGGGCGCTCTATTGTGTGCCATAGCAAACAGAGCTTCCTTAACTTTAGTCTCCGTAAAGGCCCGACACAAATCAGCATTATCCTCCTCATCGAGTTTTTCATTAGTGGTCCAAGTATTAGGATCCATATGGAACTCATTGCCGGGTGCAGGACCGAAAAGGTTTTTGCAGTACTCTGTCGCATGAGCAATCAGATTACTAGTCCCTTCTATTTCCACATCCCCAGCTTTCAGGGAATGGATCGTGTTTTTCCTCTTACGCCCGTTCGCAATCTTATGATAGTAGTCAGTATTGAGATCCCCTTTCAGCAGCCATCTTTCATGAGATTGTTGCAACCAAAAGATCTCTTCATTCACCAAAAGCTCATGCAGTTCCGTACTAACATCCACTTTGGTGCTGTACATCTCAGGGGACAGGGGGCCATTTTCTTCTAATTCTTCCAGCAAGGCTAACTCTAACCTGAGCTCTTCTTTCCTTCTCTTGTCATGACCATACTTATTGGACCCCCACCCTTTAAAGTAATTCTTAAATCTCTTAAGTTTGATATTTAGGATATCAATAGGGTCCGAGGAGTGCACTTTCCTCGACCAGATCCTACTCACAGTAGGAAGGAAATCTTTATCTTTAATCCAAGATAGGTTGAAATGAAACTCACGAGGCTTAGGAGCTTCACGCCCCTCTTCTCCATCAGAGAGAAGCAAAGGATTGTGGTCTGAAATTTCCCGAACCAACTTCCTGAAAGAGGCCATAGGAAAAAGATCCTCCCAACCTTTAGACATCAAAATGCGGTCCAGTTTTTCTAGGGTAGGGTGGGCTTGGTTATTAGTCCAAGTATATTTCCCCCCACTGATATATCTCTCTCTCAGGGCCAAGGCATTGATGATGGAGTTGAAGATGTCAGTAGCTCTATTATTCTGCATCTTTTTGTTTTTCTCATCACCATGGCGCAAGACATTGAAATCACCCCCTACAATATAAGGTACAGTCATGCTACTACAACTAGCAGCAAGCTCTATTAAAAATTCCTCTTTAAACTCCTCATGGGCTGCCCCATAGACCACCAGCAGGCCCCAATCAGCTTTTTTCTTCTTATCATGCAGGTTTAATTGCAAAACATATTTCCTTTTGGTATAGGAAGTGATTTCCATAGTATCTTGCCTCACTCCTCCTAAAATGCCACCAGACTTCCCCATAGATGGAATCCATTCCCAATGGAATAGACCAAAAGGGTCAATTCTCCTAATGCATTTAGGAGTAAAAAATTTCTTCATAGTTTCTTGCAAACCAATAAAATCCAGAGAATGGTCACTAATCATGTCTGAGAGGCAGGTGGCCATTCCTTTCTTGCCTACCCCTCTACAGTTCCAAATGAGCCCTCTCATTTGGAACGTTTTTTGTGAAAACAAGATCTAGTAGTCCTGCCAGGAGGCAATGCAGGACTACAGCACACATCTTCAGAGGATACTGCCTTATTCTGGCTCCTAGTCACAGGCCTAGAGAGCTTAACGACAGATTTCTTTTTATGTCTTCTATTCTTCTGTTTACCAGAAGCTTTTTGTTCAACTACAGTTTCATCTTGGTCAAGCCAAGTCAAATTAACAGGAACAGATTTTCCTAGCCCATTGGTGACTAAAATATCATCCTCAATATCAGTATTACTGTCCCCAATGTTCTTTTTACTATCTAGATTTTCTTTCACCCTATCAAGCTCTCTAAGAACATTCACACAAGCAAAATCATTATCAGGTATTTTTGACCCCCATACAAGTGGCTCTATACATTAATTCTTTATCAGAAAGAGCATCGAAAGAATTATTGCAAGGTATACTGATGTTACCTTCCAGGTTCTTCTTTTGAGCCAGGTTAATGGCTTTGGCCTCCATATGCTCCTATCCCCCCTGCGCATTGCGCTTGCTGAATCTTAGTACCACTTCAGGCGCAAGGGGAGGTGTGAGAATGATCTCATCGCTGTGATCAGAGAGAGGAAGCTGTACCATATAGTCACTTGAGGTCTTCAGATCTGGGTACACATCACCATCCACCTCCACAACCTGAGCAGAGTTAGCCCCAGTAACATCAAAAGACAGTGAACGACGAGTTGCGGGTACATCATTTACCTGCACATCTTTAGGCTCAATTTCCTGTTCCAGCGGGGCCTTGTGTATATCAGTCTCCATAGCCACTATCCAGCGTGAAGTATCCAGAGTTGCTCCTCCTCCAGCCATCTCATGTTCTTTTGCCAGTGTTTCAATAAGCAGAGATGTATCATTTTCACTATCAGATGATTCTGAGAGGTCATGGTCTTGTGGTGACAGACGACAGGTCTTGCCCCCACGAGCACCTGCACCATCTCTGCTACTCTCAGGGAAATCAGCTTGCTTTTCTTCTTTTTCCTGATCAGCTCGTTTACGTTTAGGAGTCTGATCAGGTTTAGCAGGTGCATCTTTCACTTCCACACCCTTAGAGTCTTTCTTCACAGGATTCCTGACAAGAACTTCTTCCACCTCATAGGTAAACTTATAGAAACGCCCCCCCAGGACACCTTCTGTCGTAGCAGGCAACTGATCAACAGAGCGACATCCAATTTTGGCTCTAACAGACGAGGAACGATTTATAGTAGACATATCTACCTCAAGAGTAATGCTCACTAATCCACCCGCATAGGCCACAGTCCTATCACATCTCTTGTTCGGAGGGATCTTCCCAATCCGAACCCAAGCAATTTCCAACAGGCCCTCGGATTCAATATCTTCAGACCATGGAGAGAACTTAACTGAAACTCCACACTGCTTCAGTCTCACATTTTCCACAAATAAAGCACGATCCACTTCCCTGGGATTAGGCATCCTCATCACAAATTTTTGAGGTGCAAAAAACCTAGCAGAACATCTCCATCCCTGTCCCACATAGATACTTAATTCATGTTCTATATCTTTGGTTGGAGCAGCCCCCTCAGTGATAGTAACAATCACGTTAAATATCCTCTCCCTAGCTTGCCTATCAATGCTAAAATCAGGAATATAGAAGAAGCCCTGCCCCTTGCTTTGGAACGCACACATCATAGGAAAACACTCCCACGGCAGGAACTCAGCACAGACCACATGCAAATGACCTTTCTTCTTACATCTATCACACACAGCTTGCGGGCATCTAGCAGTAACATGACCAGTCAGATTACAGATCTGACATGGTTCAGGGCGAGGAGCAATTTTACCAGGGTATGCAGGAGGATCTTGCGCTCGAGGAGGAGTGGTGTTCTTCCCATGGTTGCGGACCATGCTCGTGTCCCCCTCGTCCGCTCCCCACCGCTCCCGGCGAAGAAGCTCAGCCTGGTTGCCTCCGACCGCCTTGTCCCACTTCTCCGATCCAGCATCTCCAGATCCCGAAGCTCTATGTGTCGACGAGTCCCCCGTCTCCGTCTTGCGCTTCCAGACATGGTAGTCAAGGGCGCGGCCGCGTCCCCGGCCACGATCGAAGCGCCCAGCCCCACGACCATGTCGCCCCGCACCAAATCCCTCTTCCCTCATGGTGATTTTGCTCTTGTCAACCGGATCGAGTGGTGGAATCTGTGGGGGGGATGCCACAACTTGGGCAAAAGAACGACTATCTCCACGAATTTTTCCTTCCTACCAGCCAAAGGATTGAGGAACCCTAGATCTAGCCCCCAGTGGCGCGTCCCAGAAGTGAGACAGGCACTCGCTCAGATCGAAAATGAGGGGAGGGGGCGCATGATTTGGTTTTATACCCGCGACGCACAAGGAAACCCTAGGGTCGGGTGTTTCATGGCGGTCCGATCTCGTCTGCCCCACGTGTCGACCATCAGGGCCATGGTGGACCGGTCCACGCCCCAGCAGCCCTGGCCCTCCTGCCAGGAGCGGAGGAAGCGTACCCGCGCCGCGCGCCACAGGCCTCCCCGCACGAGTCTCGTCCACCGCACGAACGACGCCGGCGACCGGCGCCGAAATTCGATCTCGAACCCTAGCGAAGTGGCAGGGGAACGAGATGATATCTTCGATGTCTACGGACTCACCTTCCCGGAGAAATCGGGCGTCGACGGTGCATCCACGCTCATCTAGAAGCACGATGCGCAGCACCTCCCGTCGGAACCAGAGTACTCCATCGGACATCGAGATCCGCCGTGCCGTCACGAGGTCCGCCGCGTACCAGACCCGCCACCTCGCGTCCATCAGCACGTCCTCCCCGGGGGCGGGGACGGCGGGCGCCGCGCCGCCCCGCTCGTGCGGCATCACCTCTGTCATGGGGCATATGTATCCATATGCCAACCTTGCTAACTGCGTGTGCTCCATCAATTCTTAGATATTTTAGGTTGGGTAGCTGCCAGATCGGTGCAAGATGCACACATGATCGTACATCTATGAGTTTCAAGTATATTAAGGAAGACAAAAAAGTGGTACGAAACCAGGTGGGATACCGCTGACCAAAGAATCTGGCAATACATAGGCCTTCCTGGTTATGCGGAGGTATTAGCTGCTCAAAGACCTTCTCAGTATTACTAATATCTTCTTCTGAATATCACCCCTCTCCACGTTCAGTCCACTCTAGTGTTAGGTGTTTTAGATGATTTTTGTTTGTAAGAATTGCATTTGTACTGCAGTGAGCTGCTCTTTCCAACTTAACAAGAAGAAGACACCTCATATGCGACAAAGGAGACAACTCTTCCAACTTCCATCCATCTTGTATAACAGCATTATCACTTCCATCACCAACAGGATAATCTCCAAATAAGTGAGGAGCTTCAGTTTCCCCATGCCTTTTGGAACCTGATTTATTTCTGTGCCAAAAAGATCAAGGCATCTTAAACTGCACAACAACGTCATTGCCAAAGGAAGACTGTGCAGATAATCACACCATCTCAAGCTCAGTACTTGAAGGTTCTTTAGGGAGCCAATGGATTTCGGAAGACAAGATATGCTAGTATAATCCAGATTAAGTAGACGTAGATGTATCAATTTTCCTATATAGCCTGGAATGCTTTGTACAAATGTGTAATTCAGTACCAAAACACGAAGAAGCAGAAATCTCTTGAACAATGTATCCTCAATTCTCCATGGACCCTTAACAGTTAGGAAAGTCCTCACCTTAACATCCACCTTATCCACTCTAGGTAACACTAACATATCCTTCTTACTGACAGCAGTAACACGTCTAATTTTTGACATATTTCCACCCCTTAATGTTTCAACATCTCCAATAAAACATTCTTCTCTTGATATATTACAAGCAAGTTGTCTTAAGAGGTCATGCATTCTGCATTTAGCTTGGTCAAAACTTATCATTTCTGGCTCGAGGAGATTTCGATGAATTAGCTCATAATAGTACTCTTCTGCTATGTCTTCTATTAGTTGACCTTGCTGCTCCTCGATGAAGCCTTCAGCAATCCACAACCAAGTAACTTCATCACGTTCAATGACAGAATCTTCAACATACAAAGCACAATAAAGGAAACACTGCTTCAAACGATGTGGTAACTCATCATAGCTTAGATACAAAGCTTCTTCTATTTCATCCAAGAGGATGCTCTGAGAGCCAATAAATCTACCCAAATACCTTTTCCACTCATTCTCTGTTAGTTCTCTACTTGACAAAGCACTAGCGGTAACCTTGATTGCAAGAGGGAGGCGACCACATTTATGAACAATCTCAATCCCTGTTTTTCTTAAATTATGCACTTCCTTTTCTTCCTTGATGTTCATGCTCTTCCAAAGTAGCTCCCATCCCACCTCTACTGCCATGAGATCAACTGGATGGGTATGGTCTACACCTATTCTCTTTGTAATTTGATCATCTCGTGTGGTTACTAATATTATTCCCGCAGTTGTTTCAGGAAACGCAGGTCTTAGTAAGTCTGTCCATACATTGGAATGCCACACATCATCCAGAACGGTAAAGAAACTCTCACCTTTAATTGTTTCTCTAAGCTTTCTCTGAAGTTCTGTTATGCTTTCACCTTGCTCACTATGCACACCAATATTCCGGAGGACCTCTTTCAAAAGAGTTACTTCAGTGTAGTCTTGCGAAACAGAAATCCATGCATGCATCTTGAAGCTTCCTTTTATTTTCAGATCATTGTATATATTTTGAGCTAGTGTTGTCTTACCAACTCCTCCAGTTCCAACGATACCGAGCTTGTAAGACTTGTATTCCTTGTGTGCAAGCACTAAGTCCACCAACTTCCTGCTAGAATGTATGATCTCCTTCCCCACAAGGTTGGGCTCAACAAGATTGGAACTTCTTATCAGTTTGGATGTTGGACCATTTCGAGTAGGTTGTGTACCACTGTTGAAAGTCAAAAATATCTTGTCATTTGCAATGCTCTCAATCTTTTTGTTCAGGCTTCTAATCCGAACAGCAACATCACGGCATGGCACTATGTTGCAAAAACAAGAGGAAACTGAAAGGCCTTTACATGCAACTGATTTGCCTGATGATGGTGAAGGGTGGTCAGCAAGTAGCTTGCTTCCTTTACATCTAGCCACATCCAAGATTTCATCAACATCATATATAACATCTCTCAGTTGACCAAGCCAATTGTTTACTGCTTGCTCTTTTGTCCTCCTTTTCTCAGCATCATATATGCAACACTGTATTAGTTCTACTCGTCGCAGCACTTCTGCGAGCTCCTTTTCCACCCCTAAGATTAGTATGGCCTCATCAATAATGATATCTTTCAACTTATTGGCACATGATCCAAGCAGAGATGCTAGAACGGCTGCCATCAAGCATATGAATTGCACGCACAGGGGGGAGGTTCACCAAAAAAATACCAGGGCGACTTGTTTTGGAGAATGGTAAAAAGTGAATCCTGAAAATGAATACACAAGGTATGTTAATTGCTTTCACAGTGACATACGTCTCTCTAATATGTACTGGCATAGAAGATATTTAACGTATTTAGAATAATGGAGCTATGCAACATACAAATGGGGGAGTAAGGCCAAGTATTGAGGTCTAAATCCCTGAGTTGGCATTCTGTCCTTTACCGAAAAAGGCTTTTGCCCCGCATTCTGTCCTTTTATTTGCTTTGTGCTTGCAAATTAATATGTGTTTTAGTTCTGTATGTTAGAATTATTTATTGGTTTGTTTTACTCAGTTGAATAGCCATCAGATGGCAGCTGCATAGCAGTCTAATCCGAACAGCAACATCATGACGTGGCCCAATGTAACTGATTTGCCTGTTGATGATGAAGAGTGCTCAAGAAGTAGTTTGCTTCCTTTACATCTAGCCACATCCAAGATTTCATCAACATCATATATAACATCTCTCAGTTGACCAAGCCAATTGTTTACTGCTAGCTCTTTTGTCCTCCTTCTCTCAGCATCATATATACAACACTGAATTAGTTCCACTCGTCGCAGTAGTTTTGTGAGCTCTTCTTCCACCCCTAGGATTACTATGGCCTCATCTATAATGACATCTTGCTACTTATTGACACTTGATTTAAGCAAAATTTCAAGTACGACTGCCATGGATCAGACAAACTCAGCGCCAGAGGTCCACCAAAAACACTAGGATATTCCTTGAGACTGGGAGGAATAGAGACCCTCTCTCGCCCCCGTCGCTCCCGCGAGCGGCGGCTGGCGAGCGCCCCTCTCCTCGCCCCCCCGTCTCCATACTCGTTGTGATCTCCTCGCCGCCGCCACAAGGCGCTGCCGGGCGAAGCCTGGCCCGCGCCAGCGGCGGCGGGGATTCCTTCCCTCCTCCCTTGGCGGTGGCGGCGCGGGATGCACCGGCGGGCAGGGGCGTTGTGCTATGTGCGGGGCGCAGCGGCGGGACTGCGCGGGGCGGCGCTGGTGGCGCAGTCTCGCGTCGGGGCTGCGGAGGCTGCTCGACGGCCGGCTCAAGGCGCGACGGCCGCGTGCCAGATCTGGCGTCGTGAGGTGCGGGCTGCGCGTGGAGCACTGGATTGGTGGCAGCGGCCACTGGTGGGGAGCGCGCCTCCTACCCTTCAGCGGGTGGCAGGCTCGGATGCTGCGGTGTGCCGTACCTGGTCGCGTGGGCGGCAGGCCGGCGGCGGGCGTGGAGCTGGTTCCAGGGGATCCCCTTGGAGCCGATCTGAAGATGGTGTTCCCTCCCCCTCGCTTCTCATCTTGCCCTCCAGTCCTAGATGCCGGCGACCTCCTTTTGCTGGATCTGGTGGCTGGTGGTGCTAGGAGCTCTGGTTCGGGGTAACCGCTTGGCCGGCGGCGGCGGCCACGGTGTCAGCGACGCTCCGGGCGTCGTCTCCTCTCTTGTAGGTGGCATCGAGATCCTGTTCCTGCACTCCACCAACATACCCCGGGTGAAAGCCCAAAATCTTTGGATTGGGCGGTGACGGCGCACCGGTGTCGTTGCTCTTCTTGAAGGCGCCGCCTTGGGATGGTGGAGGTGATGGCTGGGGCTGCGACGTTGGTGCTGAGTCGTCAGTGTTCTTCAGTGGTGTTCCCGCTCGGCGGCTTGCAGTGGGCGTCATGTTTCCTTCCAGCGATGGTGGTGTGGTCTGGGTTGCAGCTCTGCGAGGGGTGGTCGCCATGCTTGTGTCTTCTCCTTGGCAACCGGCTTGACCTGCTCATGAGTGCTCAGGGGTGAGCGGCTCTGCCAGCCGACGGCGTAGCGTCCTCCGATCCGGGACGAGAAGGCAGGGGGCCTTCTTTGGCGGTGAAGGGCAGATCATCTGTGTTGACCTCATGGGAGTTGACGGAGTGTGTTCTTCTTCCAGCGTTGTGTTGCTTCCTTGGCCTCATCTCATCGTGGCAGGAGCTGGAGCTCGCTGAAGGCTTCGATGCTCAAGCTTGCTTGGTGCATTCGAATCTTGTCAGTTGTTCCGTAGTGTCTTGTATCTTTGCCGTTTGTTCTTTGTTTTTGTTCTTTCGATTGTATGCTGGATGTTTGCTTGGTGGTGGCTTTATATATAAAGCGGGGCGAAATACTTTTTCAATATTCCTTGAGACTGGCAGAAACCGAAAGCTGAAAATGAATGCACAAGATATGATAACATGTTTCGAAAATGGGACAAGGCTCACGAAATTTATCACTAGTTGGCTGCCATTTATATTTTCAATAATTTAGCATAATATAGCTATGCACATACAGCTGGAGCAGTAGCGCCAAGTATTGAGGTCTAAATTCTTGATCATCTGGCATTATGTTCTTTCTTTTTCTAGTTCCAATTTGCATAGTAGTCTCCACACCGAACTACTACTGAAAATGTTGCATTTAGTTACTACATACAGTGATACAGATAAATCATCCATCTATTTATTTTTGTTTGTCTAATTCATCTTAACTCTAATTGGTTTCGTACAAGCTAGCCTATCAATCATCATAATTTATTCCACTGTAGTTCCGAAACCAAAGCGGCAAGCTCTGTGAAGTACGGTAGCAAGGTTTTACCTTACAAACCAATCTTCTAGCCCATCGGTAGTTTTAAAGATCTCGCAAGGCCAAGTGCAAGCTAGAATCACAATAGATAACAGAAGATTATCAAACAACTACCAGGGGGAAACCATGCTGCTGCACCTGCAATGGATGATACAAGATTATTGAGCAACTAGTGAACAAAACAAAGTAGTGTCAGAAGTGCACATAACTGAACTGAATATATATACCTGAATACAGAGGATAGCTAAACTGATAAGCCACTGATGACCATCAACAAAGATCAAGGCAAAACCTCCATTTCTAAGAAGATTTCTGAGACTTGGAGATGCCTTGCCTGGTCCAATAGCAGCAGCATACAAGAGCCAAGCAACAGTAGTGGCCAGCTACCACACAACAGTAGATGATAAATGCCCGGCCCTCCTCTGCTTGCGGTTCGTGGCCACACAGCACAGTCCACAAAGATGGCCATTGGCTGGAAAAGTCTTCTGAAAGAGATTGGCAAGTTGCCCATTGGCTGCTTTTCTTTAGAAAAGGAGGATGACCCCCGGCCTCTGCATCTGGAAGATGTATACGGCCATTTTATTGATTATTCTCGAGGACCTTACAAAATATTACAAACAATATATCTGAATCCACCTTCTTGGCAATATATGCCGCTACTCCTATGCATATGATGAAGGGATGCTAGCTGGGCCACTACCCAAACCACTCACCTAAACCTAACATCAAAAGCCGGAAGCCCCAGCCGAGCCACATACCGGGTCTGGGGCACAATCCGGCCAGATACACTCGTGTGTCATCGCAGCCATCTTCCACAGGCCCGTCTTCAGATTATATTGAGGCTTCTACCTTGTCTGGCCACTCTGCCATCGATGTCACCATGACGCCAGACAGCTACCACCTCCTGCGCGAGTCCATCTCCACGCATCGGACGCCGAGCCTCCACAGCGCCATGCCGCCGATCTCCGCCGCCATCAATGTGTGAGATGAAGTACCGCTCCACCACGACAGGTACAAGGTAAGGAAGGGCGAGGTCCCTATCAGAGACACGGTCGGACGGGCTGCCACCGGGAACCAGTCAAGCTCGCCATACACGCCCAGCATCCCCATGCCCAAGTCGGCGCCTTCAAGAAGGTGACGACGCCGTGGCGCCGCCGCCGCTTAGCCACCGGGGCTAGGGTTTTCACCCGGGCGCAGGGGAAGGGGGGAGGCAGGGGAAGTTGAGCCTCGGGGCCGCCACCAAGGAGGGAATGGCGTCCGGTACGCCATCGACACCGTGACCACCACCGGCAGCCAAGGGTTTCCCCCGGCCAAGCACCCTGCCGCCACCTCCGAACCAGCCACAACATCAGCAGGCGCGCGCACGCCGGAGATCCAGGCCACCGGAGGTCATGCGTCACGAGCGGACCAGAACGCCTCAGATCTGACGAGGGAAGCCCGGGGCCTCCCCGCGTCACGACCAATCCCCACTGGGACCTCGCTGCCCGCGCAGCCGAGGGGACCCGGCCAACCTCACCGACGAGCACTCCCCGCCGCCGGAGGAGCGCCGTCCGCACCAGCGAGGCCGCCGCCTCAGATTCGGGCCCTCACCACCGAAAGGGAGCGGCCAGAGGCCTCGCCGCCGCCCTCACAGGCAGCCGCGCGGGGGCCCCGGCGACCGCCTCCGGTAGCGGCGAGGAGAAGGGGAAGGGGGAGGTGGTGGCGCGAGGGAAC